CACACACACACACACACACACACACACACACACACACACATATATATATATATATATATATATATATATATATATATATATATATATATATGTATATATATATGTATATGTATGTGTTCCACCAATTTCATAATTTTTTCTCTGTACTCTCTGAACACTTGGACTGTCCACTTATGGGCCATTCCCATCTGTACCGGGTCGGCCCGGGCTGGGTAGCCCCAGTCGGCCCCAGCCTGGCCCGGTTGATTCCACACATCCTTGCCTTAAGCCCATGTGGGCTGATTCTACCCACCAATCAGAGGCTTGCTCTAATGGAAGGTGTGAATTTGCTGTCAGCAGTGGGTGTGTTGGCCCTGGTCGGCCTGAAGCAGACCCCCTCGAGAAGAGGGCAAAGAATGAGCCTTTGCTGGCCCGGAAAAATACCAGGCCACCCAGATATGTAAACAACCTATGCTACCCGGCCCAGGCCGACCCGGTACAGATGGGAATGGCCCATTATACTTGGAGGTGATTTTAATTTTTGGGTGGACACTTTAACAGACAGGCTCAGTACAGCTGGGACTCAGCGCAATTGGCAATCCACTAATATAGTTAAACAGTACATGAGTGATTATGGGCTTTGCGATGCATGGCGATCTCTTCATCCTAACCGTAGAGAGTATACTTTTTTCTCACACATCCATCACTCTCATTCACCTTTGGATTATTTTCTAGTCAGCAGCTAATATTTGGCTGACATTTCAGACACTGAGATACACCCCATAGCTGTCAGCGACCATGCTCCGGTTTCTTTAACTCTGGTAAACAAGAAGACAATCACACCAAACAAAAACTGGAGGTTTAATACATCACTGCTTAAAGACAAAAGTTTTAATTGAATTTTTTTAAAAGGAGTGGGCTTTATATTTAGAACATAATGACCTGTCAGGACAAGTGACCAAATATCAGCTAGCTTCTGTCTTCAGAGGGGGACCAGACAGAGATGCCCACTCTCCCTCTCACTGTTTGCTATTTTTATCGAACCACTAGTGGCAGCAATTAGGCAAACAACAGATATTAAAGGGATAGTGTGTAAGAAAATAGAACATAAGATCAGTCTTTATGCAGATGATGTTTTACTCTTTCTCCAGAATTCTCAATCGTCTCTCTCCCATTCAGTAGAACTGATAAACTCTTTTTCAAAAGTTTCAGATTACTCTATAAACTGGTTAAAATCCACAGTTCTACCAATTAATTTCTCTTTTGTCAATTTGCTTAATACACAATTGGAGTCAGGGAATATCACATACCTGGGAATTAATGTCTCTCCCATGTTGGCAGATCTAACCAAACTAAACTACATCCCACTTTTAAAGAAAGTGGAAGATGATCTTGCAAGATGGAAATCCTTACCGATATCACTCATGGGGAGGGTTGCTACAATTAAAATGATGGTCTTACCCAGAATAAATTACTTATTTTCGATGATCCCAAACAAACCACCAGCTGACTGGTTTAAATCTCTGGACTCCTCAATTACTAAATTCCTTTGGCAGGATAAACCTCCATGAATTAGCTTAAAAACGCTTCAGAAGACCAAAGACAGAGGAGGACTGGATTTACCCAACTTTTATTATTATTTCTTAGCCAACAGGCTGCAATATATACCAAGATGGTTGCAAGATAACCCACTAGATGAGTCCTGGTTAGATATAGAACAGACACTTTGCAATACGATAGAGCTTTCAGACTTACCATTTCTTAGCTCAAGTATAAGAAAACATGAAAGCTTCAAAAGTATTAGTATCAGCACCTCTCTGACAGCATGGTGGGAGTATCTTAAAATGACAGCGTCTTCACTAATACCATGCAGACGCACACCTATCTGGAATAATCCTGATATTTTGCAAAATAACCAAATGATGAACCTTCCGGACTGGAAAAATAAAGGGATCCAATACCTGGAACATATACAGTATATGAAGGATTGGACTTCGTCCCATTTAATCGAATAGTCTCCCAATTTGGAATGGATAAGAATAGCTTTTTAGAATATCACCAAATTAAATCTGTAGTCAAACAAAAATTTAAGCTCAATAAAATAGAATTACAAACACCACCAAGGGTATTCGACTTCTATCATCTAAAACCCCCCAAACTACTGTCTAAAGTTTATAAGACACTGTCCAAAATAGACAATAAAATTGCAATCCCTACTGAAAAATGGGAGGTGGATCTATCAGTCAGCTTTGACCAGAACTTCTGGTCCCAAAGTTGTTTAAAAACTTTTTAAATGATCAGACACTCCAATTTACAATTAATTCAGTACAAAATTCTACACAGAGTACACTATACAGGTCATCGGATGTTCAAGATGGGGTTTGTGTCAGCTGACACCTGTACACACTGCACAAACAACATTCCTGACAATTACATTCACGCACTGTGGTCCTGTCCACCTGTCCAGGACTTTTGGGGTAGAGTATGTGAGGATCTGTCAAAGTGTCTGAAATGTCATATCCCAACTTCCCCCTCTCTTTGTTTACTGAGAAACCTGGGCAATGTCCCGATTGAAACATCTTTGGTTCACGTGGTTCTGACTGCCATATGCATCGCTAAGAAAACTATCCTCTTGAATTGGAAAAATAGAGAAAATCTCTGCACTAACCAGTATAGAAATATTTTGTTAGATCATATTACACTTGATTTAGCCTCTGCTTCCACTTCAAATAGATCTCTCGGGGCTCCTTTGATCGATTCCATCACATAGCGATGATGGGGGACCATTGATATTGTCCTGCGGGAAGATGTGGGTGAGGGGGTGGAGGGTCTGAGTTTGGAGTATCCGGATGTTCCCTGGAGGTGGGTTCACTGGGGGTGTCTGGGACTGGGGGGCCGTTGCCCCCCTCTGGAGGTGCTTGGGTTGCCCCGAGGGGTGAACTACTGGCGGTTGTGAGTGGGGCCCCTTGGAGGTCTTGGCGGTGGCCATGGGTTGCTGCCTGGCAGCTACATTGCCCCTGGGCGAGTCTGGGTGGGGGTCTTGGGGCTCGGGGTGTCGGGTTGGCCGGCCCCATGTGGGGATCTGGGGGGGGCCATGGGGGTCAGGTATGCTGCCGGGAAGAAGGCAGGAACATGCAGCAGTGCCTGGCCCGGGTCCAGGGGCCTCGGGTAGACCTTGGCTCTTCTGCTGTCCCATCACAGGGGAGGGGGAGGTCCAGGAGGGGGAGGACCCAACCTTACCTGGATGTCCTATGTCTTATATATTCTGGAAGTTGTGCAAATGCAGGGATGCGCATAGATATTCTGCTGGGGTGGGGCTGGGTTGGTGCCCTCGGATTCTGTGAGGCTCTGCAATGCTGCTGCTTTGGGCCCTGGCAAGATGGGCTGGGGTCTCCATGCCCTGGGTGGCATTCTGACAACAGAGGTGCCTATTGGGGCCAGTGGGGGAGCTGGTTCCCTGGAGGGCTAAGCCCAACCAACCATTCCTCCCCATCCCCCGCATATTTTTCTCCTCCTGCTCCCTCACATTATCACACAAACATGCACATAGGACCTGGGGGTGGGTGGGTGGGGGTGGGGGGTGGGGGGGTGGGGGGGCAAGTCAGGGAGTGCGGGTATGGACCCCATTTCCGCATTCCTGTGGCAACCTGCCCCCAAATTTTATTTGCACCTTAAACACTTCCACCAAAGACATTCCATGCAAACACTCACTTAGGGCCTTGGGATTGAGCACATTCAACGGCAGTTGGCAAGGGGATTTCTCAGCCTCATCCCGAGTGCCAGTGCCCACTTCCAATTTTAAACTGCACTTAGACACCGCGAGGGCTGTGGGTGCAAGTGGGGTGGTGCGTCGGCATCAGCTGGCATAGGCCAGACAATGCCCGCACTGCCCGCTCACCACAGCCATGGAATACACCTCATCAACACACAACAACATTATATTGGAGCAGGCGGAGGGAGACTAGGGGTCTTAGCACACCTCTGTTGTTGCTTGGCTTCCTGGGGCTGGAGGCTAGGAGGGAGATCTCGCCGTCCGGTTGGTGTCTGGGGTGGTGGGTTGCTGTGCTCAGCGTTGGGCGGGGGAGCCTGCTCATCAGCACCCCAGCAGAAAGGGTAGAACTCTTGGAACCGGTGATGCCACTTCTGGGATGCGTCTTAAAATTGAATCACCCCCATTGACTCTAATGGATTATATTAGAAGCAGTGATGTTCCACTGCTGTTCTGTGCTCAGAGCCGGATTAACGCAAAGGCAAAGTAGGCACGTGCCTAGGGCCTGATTGGCTGGATGGGGCCCAGACAGAGGAACAAAATTAAAAATAAATAAATTAAAAATTAAATGTACAAATGTCTTATGATAGAATTTGTAGCTAGGACTCCTATCTACAATTTGTTTCAATATTTATTTATTAACTAAAAATAGTGACAATGTTTATCTTAACCATAGACCGTTTCAATGGCTACAGTCACATTAAACCTCTGGGGACGAGTATACGCGTCTTTTGAACAGGTCTTATTTGGGACGCTGTAGCAGCAAGACTCCGCCTCCCTGAGTTTCGGTTTCAATTCAGCTTTAAAAAGCAGATTATAAACTACACCCCACTTTTTAAATTTTGTTAATAGGCAACGTAAAAGCGGAGTTAAACTAAACTAAAAAACGACCTATTTTTAGACAATCTGATAACTTGTCAAAACAGCAGTTTAGTAATCCGTGAGCGGGAATGTGCTTGTGAACATAAAAAACCCACACAAAAACATGAGATCCTTTTGCTGTTGGTAAAAAGTATCATTTTGTAGCTGAGAGAGAGAGGAAGGCTGCACGAGTAATGAGATGTGCGCAAAAAGGAGCCGCTTCGCGGGGAAAGGAGTGGCGCGAACGGAGTAACAACAAACAGTTAGACAGATATTGACGGTAAACTTCATATTGTGGAGCGATCCGGACAGATATATTGTCGCTGCAGTTTAGTAGGCTTTTACTAGGCTTTAATAAAGGATGATGAGAAGGATAAATGTAAACCAGGCAGTTCAGATAGTACAGCTGTTTTTGAACTGGAAGCAGAGGAAGTGGACGGAGACTCGCAGCCGGAGTCTGAGGCAAACAGCGAGGATGTTGATGACGATGTGGCAGATCCATCCTTCCTCATAGAAGAGTTGGGTCATGATGAGGTAGAGGATGAAGGCAGAGATCCAGCTCCTCGGAGATCCAACAAGAGGAGTGTGGCGCCGCGCAGCTGTCAGATCTCGGCGTGAGACAGAGCCACTCCCCACTCCAAAATCCATGTATATTATTGCCAAATTAATAAAATAAGTATAAATTCAGATAGTCCAGGTTGTCCTGAAAATAATGATACCCCATAAGGCAATATTTATTGTTTTTATTAGAAAATACAAAAGAAAAACCAAAATGAGTCAAAAACGGTGATTTACACTCTGGATCCCAGAGGGCTAATAATTTTTTTAAATTAGTTATTTGCTATATTTAGTCATAATTTTTATAAATGTACAGTCTAGATTACCATTCTAAATGATAAAAACATTCGTCATAAATGTTTGTTGGTTTCACAGTAAAATAAACAACTTTTTTCCAATTCAAATTTTATGTTTTTGAGTGATTTAAGGTCTAATATGCAACCCCTTTATGTCCAAATATACAAAATAAGTATAGATTCATAAAGTCCAGGTTGTGCTGAAAAGATTGATACCACATAAGGCAGTGGTTATGGTTTTTATTTTGGAAATAATACAAAGGAAAACTCACGGCAAATTACACCCTGGACCCCAGAGGGTTAAGGCGCCACCCAATTAAGGACGTCAGAGTCAGAGCGGGACACAACAAAGCTAGCAGGTGTTTTTGAGTAGGCTAACTTTCAAGATGCTTTCGGGTGTGGCAAAACGTAAAAAAAAGAAAAAAAAAGAAGAGGAACTAAAGAAGAGACAGCGGGGGGGCTTTACAGAAGTTTCTGTCGGGCTGCTCGGGCAGCCGTCCGACAGCTGTGAACATGCTCGAGTCAGCAGAGCCAGAGGCCGGGCCGAAGTCAGACCCAGAGGAGACACGACCCGAAGACGTGGTGGAAGATGTGGCGGAAGATGCTGTAGCGCCAACGCCGTCAACATCAACGCCTTCACAGAAGGACAATCTGGAAGAACAGCAGCCAGCCAGAAGTGAGCCCAATATAGTCTTATAGGAGCCTCAAGACCCAGAAAGGGTATTAACAACTAGCTACCCATCTGATCCTGCAAAGTGGTACCAAACTGATGACAGGATGCGTGAGTACTTTGCACTAAACCATCCCTCTCAAAATACTGGATATTCTTCGGCATCACAGAGGAAATCTGGAGACATGAACCGTAGCTTAACCAAGAAACATTTCTTCAGACGTGTTTCTGCTGTGATTGAGGCCTGTGTTGCTGGAAGGCTGAAGATTATTCAGTAGTGGAGCATGCTAAATGGTTTCCTTGGTAAGTGTTGCTGGTTTTATTAATTATTTGTCAAATATTTTTTATTAATGTTCAAATAGCAAAACAATAAGTTCACACTCAGAAAATTGACACAGAATTTCTGATTCAGCAGAGGCGAAAACAGCCTGAATGAGCATAAAGCAAGATCAAAACTTAAGATAATGTTTTCATTTTATTAAAATACTTTCTTTTAAGATTATAGATTGTATAAAATTTATACTGTAATAATTTAAGCTGTGTGTTTATAGTTTGTTTTCGAGCCTTTAAAACATGCTTCAGTCCATTCAAATGAATCCATTTATTCTTGAATGTCTTTCCACCATCATGTGATTAATTTGTCATAATTTATAAATGTTGTAAGCTATTGTATTTAGCAGAAAATCTTTTTAATTAAATGTAGTGATTAAATATAAACAGAGCAAATAAGAGACACATATTTGCTCTGTTTACATAGTTTAATGACACCTAGTGGTTATATACTGGTACCGCCTTGACAATGACACTTCCAATCGATAAGATGAGGATCATTTATTAGCATTTAATACAGCTGTGTAATGACGTATAAATTACTAATATTAAAAATTTGTCTGATAGAATGTTTTACATACAACACATGACTTATTTTGGCATACAAACAACCAATTTGTAACCAAAGACTAGGCTACGTAAAATGTGAATGAACTTTTATAAGTAAATTTGGTAAGTTTCAGATTTCAATTCATTAAATAGCATCGATGGGGGGGCCTAAAAATGCAGCCTGCCTAGTGTAGTCCATTTATTTAATCCGGCTCTGTCTGTGCTGCCGCTGCTTCCAGTGTGAAGTAGGGGTAAAGGCTGCAGCGCTGCAGGAGGGATATCCCACATCCCTCTTGCTGTAGAGTAAAACTGCTCTGGCATGTAATGGCACCCAGATCAACCGTTCTGTCTGCTTCTGCCAGGAAAGGTTAAAAAAAAGCATGTCTGCACACACACACACACACACACACACACACACACACACACACACACACACACACACACACGAATACAAACAATTTCTCTGTTTATGAATTTTATTTTAATTCTTACATTTTAAACACAGCAGATCTATTTTGTATCAAAAGCATGAGTCTGAACAGAGGAATCAAAACACACTGATCCGGGTTCAGGCTGGAAAACAACTCTGACATTTCTAAGATCAGATAAGTTGTAGTTAAAACACTTTTAGTAACTAGTGAAAATCACCAGTTATTTCATCCCGTTTCCAATAAAAAAACAACTAAAATTTAAATCAGTGTTGAATTATATTTTTTCGCAAAGACAACTTGATTTGGCTTTAATATCACATGAATTATGAAATTAAAATATGAATCCAGCTGGTTGTTTTATTTTAATGTGGTACCCTGTAATAAAACATCTGTGTGGCATAGTTCACTGTTTACCCTGATAACTTGCACTAAACAAATCACAAACAAAAATGTTCATAAAATCAAGATTTATACATTATAATGAAAAAAAAATACTACTTACAAAGTTTGATGCTCAGTATTGTGGTCTGTACAAAATAACTTATAAGATTTTATTATTTAACAAAGAACAAACTGATAAATGATGAATGAATTTACAGGAGAAAGAAATAATTATTTAGTCATGCTTTGCTTTAAAAATCGGACACAAAGACAGAAACTTACATTATTGCTCAACATTCAGTTATGGTTAAAGTTAGAATCCAGACTGTCTCACAAGGTCAAAAATATTCAGACATTAAGTGAAATTAAAGGTACAAAATGTATCAAGTACTTATTAAGTGCAGTTACTGACATCTCTGTCCTGAGCTACAACGAAATGGGACAAAGAACACAAAAGGCCTGTTTTTAACAGATCATGTTTTTATCTGGGTGAAACACACACACACACACACACACACACACACACACACACACACACACACACACACACACACACACACACACACACACACACACAAACACACGTGCACACACTTCATCAGTAAGAAGCCAGTAGGGAAGGAGGAATTTGGTGAAGATTAAGTTAGTTTCTGCATTTTTACACTGATTTCAAAGATGTTTTGTCTTTAAAACTAAACATTCATCCATGTGCTAGATTCCCTATTCAGACAAATTTTATGTGTATTTACAAGGAAAACCAACATTTTTCCTTGTAAATTTTAATTTTAAGCATTAAATAAATTTAGTGGTAAATTCTTCCACCACTTTCTGAATTTATGCCAGATTATTGTCCCTTGTCTATAAATAATCTGACATTTTACTCAAAATCTAAGAGCAAACACCGTTTAGAAATCAGTCGTGTTTTTATTCAATCTAATAAAAAACTTAATGTATTTTAATGCTATTTTAATATAAATTCTAACCTTTTCTTAAGACCCACACAAACTGTAGAGTTAATCAGGTTTATAATTATCTGTTAAAACCTTAATTTGGGATGTCTTTCTACTGACAAGAGCACAGCGCTGCTGTACTTCATTGATTTGGTGACACGGATCCATATGAAGGGTTTACTTGTGGATTTAAACAAATTCTACTGGCTGTCAAAAGGTTTTGAGTACGTTCAACTGAAAACGGTGCAGTTGAGATGATAAATCAACCAGTTTGCAGTACAGAGTCAGCACCATTAGGTGGTGCTGTGGGACAAGGAGAGTGAGTTTACGAAAACTAAAACAAGTTCTTAAGCTCATGGGTAAGAAACAAGTTTCTTTTCAGCTGAACAAGCTTTAAAATAAAAATTGTACCATTTGATACCTGACCGTCCTGGAACCCCGAAGACAGCTGAGAACAATTGGGACCAACATTTCTTTGTGAAATATTAACAAAAGGCTTTAATTTCATTGTTGTTCAGTAAATTCTGGAAAAGGAGTTTTCCTTCATGTAGATTTTAGTACTAAAATATCCTGTTTCATGTTTTCAAACATTAACATGAGCGATCAAGTAGAAACTAAACTCACCACTTTATTAGGTACACCTGTCAACAGGAATATATAATTAGCCAATCACATGACAGCAACTTCTTGTTTTAGACGTCTAAACGTGAATAAGACAAGCTGAGGCTGAAAGTGAGCTTCAGAATGAAGAAATTAGATTTTAGGAACTCATCATGGCTGTTGTTAGCTGACAAGCTGGTCGGAGAGTTTTAGAAACCACTGATCCACTGGGATCTTCACCCACAACCATCTCTAGAGTTTACAAAGAATGGTTTTAGCTTTAATAACCACTGGTTCCCATTAAAGTCAGAAGAACAGCATCTCAGAAGCACAACACGATGAACCTTGAAGCAGATGGACTCCAGCAGCAGCAGATCAACAGGAAACTGAGGCTATAGTTCACACAAGATCACCGGAACTGGACCAGAAGCGACTGGAAAACCTTTCCTGGTCTGATGAGCCTGGAGTTCAACTGCAACATTCAGATGGTCGGGTCAGAATCTGGTGTCACCAACATGAAAGCATGGATCCATCCTGCGTTATTCAACGCATCCGGCTGCTGATGGTCGTTTATTTGTAGTGGTGTAATGGTGTTTGTTAGGGGACATGTTCTTGTCCCACTTCGGACCCCTCAGTTCCACCTGAGTGTGGTTTAAACACTCGAGTATTGCATCTGACCATGTCCATTCCTTTATGACCACATGGACCCATCTTCTGATGCTACTTCCAGTAGGATTAAGCACCATGTCACAAAGCTCAGATCCTCTGGTTTCTAGAACATGATCATGAGTTCACGTGACCTCCACAGTCACCAGATCTCAGTCCAGTCCAGAACCTTTAGGATGTGGTGTAATGGGAGAGTTCCATCATAGATGTAACTGTGTGATGTTGTCATGTCAAGATGGACCAGAACCTCAGAGGAACGGTTACAACACCTTAATGAATCAGGTTACGTGAAGAGTTAAGGTGGTTCTAAAGGCAGCACTTGATAGGTGTACCTAATAAAGAGGCCAGTGGGTCTAAACTGATTTTGTTTTCTTACACCATCAATTTGAAAAAACAGCAGATTAATTTTCAAACCAAAGTCAAATTTTGTCCCAAATGTTTTCAACCTTAAGTCTGGTGTTTGCAGGGCTGTGAAAAGATTTTTAAATCAAAACAAAGGATTTGTGTTCGTTTACAAACACAACGGTGGTTCCCGAAGTCTGGAAGTGGGATGTCAAACTCCAAACCAGATGATGTCCAGGAAACTGATTAGGTTTAACCCTGATTCCTCACCCTCTTATTTTGTGTTTGATTCTTACTGGAGTCTTACTACAGTCACAAGAGTTTTTGTTCTCGTGGGTCAGAAGGGGAAAAGTCTGAAAAACAGCTGAGAGATAAACGAGCAGCTTCTTAATACTGATCTAAACAACATGTCAACAGTTAAAATACCATCATCATCCAGCAGAAATGACATATTTCCTCTAAAACACTGTGAACACAGAGCTTTAGAATAATTATAACATATTAAATTTTTTTTTTACCAGAAAACTGTTTAAAAATCTAACTTTTGATCAGATCTCGATATAAAATCTAGGAATAACTTCTGAGTAATTGAAGTTTAGTTAAATTTTTGGTCACCAAGTGAAAGTAAACTGGACTTGTGTTTATTTAGATTTTTTTAAATGTTGATAAAAAATATCAGAGTTTTTAAACCACAGATCAGCCATTTGCTTAGATTTTAAAATGGTTTCACTGAAACAACGTGGAAAAAACAGAATAATTTCTGAAGAAAAGTTTTGCATCAGTTGTAGAAATAATTCAGAGTTTAGAGAAGAAAGGCCAATGCCTGCATCATTCTGCTTGCAACAGAGATGGTTTATGAAATAAAAAGAATCCACCATTAAATTTTCAGGCTTCTAAACGTTCATACCAACCGTCTTCTGTCTGCTGCTTTACTTGTTTACCGTGTTTAAATTTCCCTCCTGCTGTATCATTTCTGAAGAGACCTAAAGTATCATGATGCCTTGTAAAAGAAGACGAACGCAGCGATGCGTGTCAGAAAACTTACAGTAAACAAAGTAGCAGACCCTTCTGTTTAAGGGTTTATGCATCAGATGTGAGTCTGACGGGTAGCTACATCTAAAGAAAGAAGCAGCAGCCTGGAATCCTGTAGGTAGGTAGTCAATGTGTTTCCAGCACCAGGACGTCTGGTGATCATTGCTGTGCCACTTTACATTGAGGCTCGTGCAAAAGTGCAGAAACTGGAGAAAAGTTGATGTGAGAATCTGCTGAAAAAAGCAGCTTTCAGTGAGAACTTAAAAAAGGATCTCCTCACGCTTCTAAACTCAGCAAGAGGAGGAAGTGCAGGCTCCGCCTCTCTGATCAGGAGTCTAAGAGAACCGCCTCCTCTGTCCCCATGGCTACCGGACTTGCTCCTTAAGGATCTGCAGTTTGGTGCTGGTTGGCTCTGCGGAGCGCTATCGCCGTTCAGTTGCTGATCGGTGATGCCACGTCCAGGTCGGCAGCAAACAGCTCTTTATAAAGAGGGGGGAAGTGCGTCCGAATGGCATCAGGGTAAACGGCTCTGAACGCCGACAGTTTCTCGGTGTGCAGACAGCACAGAGAACGCAGCACCGACACCTTACACCTGAGCTGAGGAGAGCAGGAGCAAACAGGAAGTCAGCAGGTTAACACACAATAGTCATCACAAACATAGATCTCACATTAATTAGGTTAATAGAAGCAGAGTCAGTATTTTGCAGTGATTCAGTGAACTTGTAGCAAAGACTTTAAATATAATTGTTACTCAGGTTCAAGTTATGTTAAGTCAAAAACACAAGGAGCCCCTTCTGGGGGGCTGAGGAGCCAAGTGGAGCTCCAGAGCTGCAGGTTGAAGATCCTTGATCCAAAACAATAACCAGCATCCACCACAGCACAGCTAGCCACCTAGGATCAACTAATCTGGCTGTGAAGGTCTTAAACATGAAGACTATGTCATTTCATTAAACCTTGACTTTTAAATGCAGTCAAGTTGATTTGTGGCTCTGCTGAGATCAGCAGCTCAACGAGCCTCTGTTTCTGCATGAGAGATCAACATGTAGAGTTCTGTAGCCAGAATAAGCCCTGGTTTGTTTTAGATCAAGACTGGAGCAGGTTTACATTGAAACGTTCCAAATAGTCAGAAACAGACTTCATGAAGTTTCTCTGTGGGGCTTCTTTCATTCATGATGCCTGATGTAGATGAGTCTGATGGGTTTAAACATGACTTTAATGGTTTTGTGTGAATGTCCCATCTGGGCATAGCGTGTGTTCTTTAGTATGTTTTCCAAAGTTAAACAGCTGTCCCTGCATAAATAAACAATTAGCATGCATGTGAAATGACAGAATTTAGAAATGTCATCTTCAACTTCAACAGGAACTGCTGCAGAGCATCCTAACTGAGATACAGATGTGCTGTTTGGCCTCTTCCACTAGAGGGCAGCATAGTGTCAGTATTTTACACACTGGACCATGTGATGCTCTGATGCGGACAAAGTACCTTCTCCAGGACTCCGTCCGCTCTCTGGTTCTTCTGCAGGATGTGCTGCAGAGCCGACTCCGTCTTCTGCTGAAGCTTCTCCACCTGCAGCTTATCTCGCAACCATGAACGGTCTACACACACACACACACACACACACACACACACACACACACACACACACACACACACACACACACACACACACACACACTTTACAAAGTCGTTCTAGGCCAACTGTTTTTGTTAATCGAGCGTGAGGACGCACCTGCAGAGAACAGAACGAGTGCTGAGAAAAGTGCGAGCTCTTCTTCCGACAAGTGCAGCGAACACATGCTCTTGGCAAAATCAAACACTGATGTGATCAAGTCATCACACCCTGGAGGAACACAGGGAAACCATGACAACAGCAAAAACACATTAACTCATGCTCGGATCACGCTGTGCAATTTTTGGCCGTCGCACTGGATTGCTCATGTCACACTGTGAGAACTCCAAAGGTGGCTCACTATACGGCGCAAGGCTTCAGTGAGGCTGACTGCACGACGTTTCGCTCCGGCAGGACACGCTACGTCATGAGAGCACCTCCTGAAAGCATACGTCAGCAGACCGCTAACCAAAACAAATCTGAAAGGATAAAATAAAGTGTCACCGTTAGCACTTCTTTTTAGCATCAGCTCATGGCCCAGCTCATCTTCCTCAAAGAGGGAGCATCGTTTTAAAAACCCTCACTTTGACCTCAGACTCCAGCTGAGTGTCTCCTTTTCCCATCTTCCAGATAAAAAGCTGAACTGTCTGTTGGACACTCATCCTTCTGATCCTCCTTAATAAATAAAAACCCACTAGCCTACAGAGAAGTAACAATCTGTCACTGATCGCTGCAATATCTAAACTTCTGCCTTGAATGCTGCCTCACTGTTTACTCCACAGCTCCGCTCTGTGAGCTCATCTCACCCGCTGTCATGGAGCAGAGCATCCTCTCTCTCGGCAACAAACGCTACTGAACCATCCGTATCGGCTGAATATGTGAGATTTCTACCAACAGCAAAGGGATCTCATGTTTTTGTCAGCTCATCTCCTCTCACTCATCACAGAATCACGATTTTCACAATTTTTCTAATGGTCTAAAAATGTAGGTTAATTATTTTAGTATAACTCTGGTTTAACTTGGGCTATTAACAGAAATAAAAACTGGTGTGTAGTTTATAATCTGCATTTTAAATGTAAGATGAAACCAAAGCTCAGAGAGGTGATGCTGCAGCGTCCCAAAGGTGTGTTTTCATTGGTCGATTGCAGACAGGAGTCGTAGGTTTTCAAGCAGTGCTTGAAGACTTTTTGAGGCTGATTTGGTCGTGAGACAGCTCAAAAAGCTGTCGCAGAGCCGGCCACACGGTATATCACAGATATGCAAATCACCCTCACGCTGACCGTTTTTTGTCATGATTCTGCTCAGGATGAGGGATTTGGTTAAGACGGCCCAACAATGCACAGTGTGATCCGTGCATTAAATACATGCAGGAGTTCCGTTTCTGTCTTGAAACTTTATAAAATCAGTTTTGTTTAGATAGTGTTAATGTTCAGCTCCAGAATATCACAATACACACACCACTATTACCCACAGGCCTTCATGGATTTAAGCACCTCCTAATAAAACGACTGATATGTCCAGAGCATAACATGGGCCAATCGTAGTCTGCAGGATGAAAACAGGATGCACCTTGAATGAAGTCTGCATCTGATGAAGGTGAAACCGTTAGCTTAACAAGGTAAAAATGGAAACTTTGCTACTCTGGTTATGAGATAAGAACAGAAAAACAATGGAACTAGAAAACAAACAGAGAAAGAACATAACAAAAATCTGTGCAGTTTTAAGAATTTCCCCATGCAGGCCTTTTATTCTGAAAAATTTTTAAAGGAAGTTTTGTTGATGATGACAGTCTAACTCCTAAAGCCAAAAAGAATAATTTAACCTCTGATTGGATGTGCAAACCCTGATTAAGGAGCCATTGAAACATAAAAAAATATATATATATAAGTTGACTAGTTGGTTCCAGTGTTTCTCCATCACATTGGCTTTCCTCGTTGAGCCGATGGGTTACGGTTACTCACCTAATGCTTTGAAGACATCAGGACTCGCTAACTTCCCATCGAAGTAGACGCTGTTGTTCTCGGAATCAAACACTCGACACATTCGTACCAAGATGACCTCTAAAGACCCTGATGGACGCACCGTGAAGTGGCTCATTAGTGTTTAATGATGTCAACCCAGAGTATAAATCAGTGAGCCATTGCTTAATACATTTACAGCTGAGACTAATATGAACACAAGACAAATGACATTTAGATTTCTGTGGGACTGAAAATCTTATTTCCATCCCTACAGGATTAGAGATGAAAGTGTCAGAATTCACTTTGTGTTTATCAGACGGCGTCTGCTCTCACCAGCTTTCAGCAGCACGATCTGGTCATTCTGGCAGAGCTCCATGAAGCCGTCGATGCGTTTAGCAAACTCCACCACGTACTGAATGGCCTCGGTGATCTTTACGGCACAAAGCTGCCACATCATCTCCCGCGGCTGAACGGACCAGAGCAGGAAGAGATGTCAGGAAAATGGAACAAACTGGGATGAACTTGGAAAACCGCATTAAAAGTGTCTGATGGGATTATTAGAGCCTAGGAGCAGAACAGATTTGAGCTGTAGATGCAGATTAGACATTGGATGCATTTTCTGGTGCATTGTGGATGATTTTGCCCGATCAGAGCAGCTCACCTTGCTCTGATATCGGTCCACCTCTTCCTGCTGGAAGCTCTGCCAGCTCATCTGCTGCAGCTCCTCCCTCAGGTACTGACACGTCTCCAGGTGAGACTTGGACACGATCTGGGCCAGGTGATCTGAAACAGTAAAACCCTTCAGAACTAGTCACCAAACCTAAAACAGACAAGGTGTTGGCAGCAGAGGAGTCGACTCTGGTGCGTTTCACAACTCAGGATTAGACGCTGGAGTCAAACTCTAAATAAAGAACCTGGCCCAGAATCGGTTAGTAAAAAAGAAAAAAAGTTAATAGTTTCTATTTAAACTGAATGTTTGCTTCTGCAACTCTTCTCACCATTTTAATGTATTTTTAATTTTTAAACAAAAATCCAAAACAAAGCAGATAATTTACAGAGACATGTTTATGCTGCCCGTTTGTCTTTACAACTAAATATCTGTGATTAAAACCAGACAGGGACGGCAGAGAAAAACAAACTGACTTTTTTCCCACATTGAAGGTGGTACCAGGTAAGACCTGTTAAACCAGGCTGGTCTGTTAAAGGCCACAAACACAGCAGCGTCTATACAGGTGAAACTCTAAAAATGAGAATATGGTGCAAAAGTCCATTTATGTCCATAATTTATCTTAGACTGAGAGACCATCTAAAGGCTCAGCTTTAGCACCATATTTTAGTTCCACCTAACCTATATATACAGAAGAGGACCAAGAACTCAGCCTTGTGGTGCACCTGTATTTAGATTACAAAAAGTTGCCTTTTGCATTCCTAAAAATCATGTTCTAACTACTTTAGCTAAATAAAATAAGTAGCTGTCTAATAAAGACATAAACCAACATTAAAAGGATGACTACAAGTGCTTCAGTTGTACTGCTGGTGGTTTATTTTTGTTTTTCTATCTAAATTAGACTCTTGTTTATATATATATATATATATATATATATATATATATATATATATATATATATATATATATATATATGTATATATACATATACATATATATATATATATATACATAATACAAAAATTTTGTTTGTTTGTTTTGTCTAAAAATGTAAAGTTTAAACATTAAAACAAAAAATGAAATATAGATTAACATAAATAGAATTAGACAGTAGCTCTGATAAAAACCATTGACACAAATCAGATGTCTTCAATTAGCTCATTTATCAGTTTTTGGTATTATACCTCAATATTGTTTAAGTGTCTGAGATTCCAGATGCAGGAAATGAGGCTGACTGTGAAAAAATGTCTGGAGCTGAAGATTAAAATCCAAAGCTTCCTTCTGGGAACCAATCAGGTCACAACTGACATAAAATCGTCAGGATCGTCGGCTAGCAGTGCCTACACCACGCTCAGGACAATCCAGACTCTTCTCATGCATCGTTCCACAAATGTGGAATGACCTTCCAAGCACTACCAGAACAGGGGCTTCCTTTTCAATTTTCAAGAAACTCCTGAAGACCCTGCTCTTCAGAGAGCATCTTCTTAACTAGCACCTTCCCTGCACCTGTCCCCCCTCTCTACTGTCCACCCCTTGTTCCCTCCTCTCCAAGACTGATGTCAGGTTGTTGTTGTTATTGTTGTTGTTAGCCTCAAGGGCAACATGCCGATTATCACTTGTAAGTTGCTTTGGATAAAAGCGTCTACTAAATACATAAACTGGTAAATGGCCTGTATTTGTAAAGCACCTTCTTAGCTTTCTACAACCCATAAAAATCTACAAAAGATTTAAAAAAAACTTTCAATTTTCGGTTTAACGTGTGAAAATCTCAGTATTTTAAACATAAATCAGTTCCTGTCTGTATATATATTTTTTATTTTGGTAAAACTTTAAGATGGAAAATTGAATCTAACCAAATGTACTTATTGGTCTGTCACTGCTGACCACAAATGAACAACTATAAAAAACAAGATTCTAATGTAGACAGAAAAAACTAAAATAAAACACCAGCGGTATAACTGATCTTCTGCTTGGGGTTATTATACTGTGAAAAATCTCCAAGGAGAATAAAAACATTACTTCCCCCACCGAACGCCCTGCCATGTCCCAGTAGGCTCTAATTAACAGATAACTAATTACCACACAAAGATTTAAATGAGTTCTGAGGACACGTTTCTAACCTGCTGCTATTTTAAACCACCTACTGTCTCCGTTTGCCCCACAGCTCCTGCTTTCTGCTGCTCTGCTTCCAATTTAGTCCTTTGCTTTTTTCCCCTTCTGCTTCTCAGCTTTCCACAGATTTCCTCATCTTCTCTGTTAGGCTTTACCTTCAGCTGATGATGGATCATCAGTAGAATCAGTGTTAATTCCACTTTTATTCCTTTTATTCATTTAAACATTCTTTACTGTGAAGGTGATGGTGTTTACTATGATCTGTATTTGTGATTAATAAACACAATGTGATTGTATTGTCCTATAACTGTATTATAATTGGACATATTTAATACAGATGAGCAGACCTGACCTCTCTTTACTCACCGAGTTCAGCCATGGAGGCTGGTGGAGATGCGTCTCCACTGCTGAAGGAGCAGTACTGGAAGAACCCGTTCCCGTGTCCGTAGTCGCACGGCGGCTCTGGTTTGATCCCGTTGGCATCCAGCCCAGACTGGTCTGGAGAAGGCTGGATGTCCAGGTAGAACCCCTCTTCTCCTCCTCCTCCAGACTCGGCCTGTTTATGGGTGAGCCAGTTAAGAGGTTGGGATCTCAACCAGAGTTTATTTTGACAGTTTAGGGTTTAAAGGTCACAGACCTTAGGGGTTAAAGACCCTCCATTAGGTGAGTTCTTTTCCATGTACTCAGTCTCATCGGACAGCTCCATGAGACCCGTGGAGGACAGCGTGTAGTGGGGGGACAGAGACTCGGCCTCGCTCGGGCTCGGGATGCTGAGGCTGGGACAGATCTGCTGCTGCTGCTGGAGGCGATGCTTCTGAACCTCCGCCTGCAAACTGTCCCGCTGCTTTTTAGACATGCGACCAAACTTCACAGCTGTTTGAGGCATAGAGGAAAATGTATCAGTAAATATCAAAATGGAAACTTCATTTATTCCTGTTATTTTTCCTTCTATGATAACTACTTGTTTGTTTAAATGATACATATAAAAATATTTATTTTTAAAATATTAGAAAAGTTTCTGAATGTGACAGAGGACTAGAGGCGTCCGGATGACATCACTGTGGTACAGGTTTACTGGCCACTGCAGGTTTGTTTGCATCTTCAAAAATATGACTGATTTGGTTGTCATGGTTACAGATGTGCTCATAATGATCGCATAATTTATGGGACAAAAGGAGACTTTCCTTTAAACCCAAATCACATAAAACAAAATTTGAGTCGTCATTAATCAGGAGAATTTTTGGGGAAACACAGAAGCTCTATATTACTGTCATTGTGTGCATTTACCTGGAAACCTGCAGATGAAGATTTTTAAAATGCTGACTGCCAGATGTTCTAGCAGGTGTGTGTGTGTGTGTGTGTGTGTGTGTGTGTGTGTGTGTGTGTGTGTGTGTGTACTTCACCGTCTCGAGACATGCCGACAGCTAGGCATTTCTGCAGACGGCAGTGCTGGCAGCGGTTTCGGCTCGTTCGGTCGATTTGACAGTTTTTCTGGCGAGGACACGAGTACGTGGCGTTACTCTGCTGACTCCGCCTGAAGAAACCCTGAGACAGGAAGCAGAAGTTAGAACCAATAGTCTCCAGACTTGCGTTCATATGATCAGATTTAACCCTCCTACTGTCCTAATGGGTGTGACCCCGCGAGGAAAGTTGACCATTGCGCAGGGTTGATGGTTTATCCTTTGAGGTCCATGCGGCAGGGGTGAGGAGTGAGCACCACCTCACCCCTGCCACACACACACACACCCCAACCCGGTGTATCTGCTTGTGTCTCAGTAGGTCACACGTTTGTGTGAAAAGCTGAGGAGTGCTTGTTTAACCTAGAGTCACAGCTCTGCTCAGCCTTCCTCTCATGTTCCTACAGGATACATCTCCATAAACTGGCTGCTGATTAAATGTGAAGTGAGTCTCCAGCTGTCACACCAGCAGCTGCTGAAGCTAAACTCCAAACTGATGAGTTTCTGAACCCAAAGGTTGTGGCTGAGGGTCCAGACTAAGATGTTTCCTCTGGTTCTGTAAACAAGGTTGAATCTAATTCTGATGAGGGAAATTAAGTTATTATTCTGTTTCTGTGGAGATGTTTGGTCTCCTGAAAGTTTCTGTAAAGGTCTGAAAAGTAACAACAGCGTGGTGTGGTGGGTGGGGCTTACCTTGCAGCCCTCACAGGTAATCACTCCATAGTGGATCCCTGATGATTTATCTCCACAGATCTTACAGGGGATGATCTCAATCTGAGCTGGAGGATGGAAATACAGATGATTAGAAGCAGCAGCAGGAGTTCAGCCACCAGTCAACAACTGATCAGACTTTTATACTCATTTCATAAATAAACAGCAAAGCATTAAAATGACAAAACCATATCCTTTGGATCAAATGAGAACCTCCTTATAGAGTAAGGTGTTTCAACCTGCTGCTGATAAGACAAATAAAAAAGTTCCAACTGATGAAACCCGGGGGGTGGACTGCTGGCGGTTGTGAGTGGGGCCCCTTGGGGGGTCTCGGCGGCGGCCATGGGTTGCTGCCTGGCGGCTGCATTGCCCCTGTGTAGGTCTGGGTGGGGAACTGGGGGCTCGGGGTGTGGAGCAGTACCGGGACCAGAGTGAGCATGAGTGGGTGTCTAGTGTTCATTTTTGTAAGTGTTAGGTTGTATGTGTATGTGTGAGCATGAGGGGGGGAGTGTGGTGCCTTGGTCTGCCTGAGTGTTTGCGGCTCCCGGGTCAGGGGTTTCAGATTTTTGGAGTCTGCCTGACCGATCCCGGTGGCTGCCTGGTGGGATCTGAGTCCCTGGGCTCTGTTGGGTCCCCGGCGGGGCTGGTCGCTCTTGGGTCGCGAGTCGCTTGGTTCCAGGCTCGGCTGGCTTGGGGGTGGGAGGCTGCAGGCGGGGGCCTGTGGGCTTGCCACTGATATCTCCCGGGACTCTGACGGCTGCTGGTTGTGACCGCCCGGGGCAATCCTCTGCACCTCTCGAGGGGGAGGCAGGGGCTTTTCTGGTTGCAGTCTCCCTGGGGTCCCTGCGCTCTCGGGAAGCTCCTGGATCTCTGGGACTTGGAGCTCCCTCCATCTCCTATACATCTTTGGGGGCAGATCTGTGGCCCCTCACACTCTCTATTGGACGCTCCTACAGAGTAACCTTACATATACAAGCGCGTGTACACACACAGGTGCTCACATGGTGCTCTCATAAGAGTAGACTTCGGCACGTTTATCATCACACAATCATGCACATAGGACCTTGTATGGTTGGCACTAAATGCACTTTGATTTATTATCGTGATTGTTCAGTAAAACAGTGTTTATTTTATATTTCCTCATCAGGTTGACGCAGTGATAGTTTGCTCCTGTTGTATTGTTGTGTGTCCCCTTCTTTTTTTGTTAGTTTTGTCTCTTTCTGCATGTCTAGAAGCCGACTCTTGTTCATCATTGATTGTTGATTTTGTTTATTTTTGTGGAACCCCCCATTTTGTTTCTTCCTTTCTCTTTCACCTCTGTCTCCGTGAAAAAAAAAAACATACTTCAGCTGCTGTGGGTGAAGATTAAAAGCAAAAGGTTGGTGGAGTCTGTTTTAGTCTAAGAACCAGAGCAGAAATCCTACTGGATCTTAGTTTCTACTGCACGGTCTCATTCTTCTGTGGGGGCAGAATGTTGTAGGAGACTGACCCCGATGCAGATTTTTGTGTTAAAGAGCTCAGCTAGAAGGTGCAGCAATTGATCTTTGTCTCTAGGTGATGAGGTGTAGGGCAGGGATAAAAATATTAAAATTTCTAATAGAGATGATACTGTGCAGAGTATTTTCAAGATGCAGAAATTACATCATTCATCAGGGAAACATGTAACTAAGCCTATGTGGAAAACTAACTGATCTGATCTGTCTCCCTATAGCGCAGGCCTGCAGCAGCTGCTCAGGGCATGTGCTAAGTATGGTGAGCAATTTGACATGCTGTTTAACCCTAAAAAGAGTGTGGTTATGATTGCTGCTACTAAAGGAGACCTGAAGCTTAATTTTCTATCTTTTAACTTAACAAATCAGGTCCTCGAAGTGGTAAGCAAAGTAAAATATTTGGGGCACATTTTAAGAAGTGACCTCTGTGATGACGAGGACATTAAGAGGCAATGCGGTAAGCTGTACATGCAGGCTAACACACTGGCACGTAACTTTGGTATGTGCTCAGATCCTGCTAAAGTGTCCCTCTTTCGTTCCTTTTGTACTCCTCTCTATACAGCCCACTGGTGGTGCAACTATAGTAAGGTAGTAATGAAGAAGCTTCAAGTGGCTTATCAGGATGCTTTTAGAATCCTCATTAAGCTCCCTAGATGGACCTCTGCAAGTCATATATTTGTTGTGAGTAACATCCCTACTTTTCATGCGCTTCTGAGGCTCTTCATGTACAAATTCATCCGCCGACTGAGTTTGTCAGCTAACGCTGTTGTTAGAGCGCTGTCTTGTTTAACTTACAGTGACACGAGGTACTCCTCAGTCCTTTTTAAACATTGGAACAACTGCCTATACGGTTTGTAATTAGAATGTGTATTTTTATTTTTATTTAAATTTTTTTATTATTTTTTTATTTTTATTTTATTCTTGTTATGGACATATCCCTTGTCTGAAATAAAGTTTGATTGATTGATTGATTGTAAATCCGACAGCTAGAATTCCAGTGTTGGTGGTCCCTGAGAAAGTGTCTCTTGCATCACTGTGGAGGAACTTTCCCCTGCTCTTCTATACAGATTTGTTTTCCATCAGGAACGGCCTGTTTAAGGTCAAAGGTCAGACATTCTCCTTTAGAATTCATGGTTCCATCAGTTACAGCTGATCCAGGTCCTGAAGCAGCAGAACAGCTCCAGATCATCACACTAAGACCTCCATGTCTGACTGTTTGGGTGTTAGTTTTACTCCAAATGGAATGGGACACACACCTTCCTTCAGTTCTTTTTTGTCTTATCAGTCCAAAGTCTTGGGGATTATCACAGTGTTTTATTTCTGATGTTTCTCTTTCTAATTGTTGAATCGTGACTCCTGACCTTGACCTTAATCTTAACTAAACCTGTAGAGCTTTAAATGTTGTTCTGAGTTTGTTTGTTATTGAAATTCTTTAAACTTCTGTAGCTGTGGTAACCTGGTAAGCCATCCTATAAATATATAGTCTGGCCAAGACCCATAGACAGAGCTCTGTTGTGGGACAGACGCTAGTTGTCTTTCAAACTGTCTCTGTCTACTGGACACTAGGACCAATCAGACAACAACCAATGCTACAGAAATAAGTCAACCAAATCAAACAAGTGCTGTTCCTGAGTCGACGCCATCTTAGTAGTTTTCCGCTATCGCAGCATTAGAGCTAAGCCTGCTCAACATCTCTACAAATACAGAGTACTATAGGATTGTTTGGGCCGATAGTAGACCTGCTGAGGCTAGAATGGAGCGTGACTAGACTGACATGCAGAGGAAAACCTATGTTTATCTAGATTTCTAGGCCATAACAATGTTGCTTTTGAGATCAAGTGACTTCATAATTCTCTTGAGGTCTGGAAATAATCAGGTCTGGCTGTGGCTGATGGAGTTGAACTCAGCTTTATAAATGTGATTAATCAGTTCATTCATAATTTTCACATAGAGACAGGCTGGTGGCTTCATATGAATGACATAAATAGAGGAAAAGGAAAAGTGATTTTTGTTTTCTCTGGTTATCCTTTTCTGATATTGAAATTTATTTGCACATTTGATTGTTAAAAAAGCGGAACAAATCTGATCTGTTAGGAGCAAAATACTTTATAACCAACATGAGTTTCCATGAGGACATGCGTAAGATTAGAGTAATCTGGATGGATCCAACACTGCTGCTGTGAAACGGATTAAAACAGTTGGACTTCCTCTGTCAGGCAGTTCAAAGCCAACCTGAAAACACACTGACTGTTTGTATTTATACTCTCTGTAACAGACTGACAGCTCAGCACTGATCTGCTAAATTTAGCTGAGGGAAGTTATGTAAGAGCGCAGAACACAACAAACAGCAACAAACAAGGTGGAGGGAAGCTGTTAGCTGTACTAAACTGCTTTTATTAGCTTTTAAATGTAGTTCTGAACTTATGTATTTGCTATAAATTATTAAAGGGGAAAAATATGAGTGTTTTGCTTATGTTACTATAGTTCTATGGTCAATACAAAGCATGTTCATAACTTCTTCACACTAAACCCCTCTCACATAAGGCTTTTTCAGAAATTTTACTCTTGATGGTTTCAGTACCTTCCAGAATGAGCCGTTTTAGGGCTCTGTCACTTTAAGAAAATCAGCTTTTGCTAGCCAAGGGCCACCCATCCCGCTCAGGGTACTAAAAGCTAAGAAGCTCTCTAACCCCCAAATTCCACTACCTCCGCTCCGCTCCGGTCCGCCCCCGCCTTCCGCAGCCGCTCGCTTCCGAACTCAATTTTTACTGGTACCCGCTCTACAACGGCTCCGCTCCGGTGCGGAGACCTGAGGGGGGCAAACAAGCTTGCGCGGGATTTTCGAGATCTTGCGATACAGTCCGAGCAATAAACGCGGAAGTTATATCCAAACACCCGTTGTGTGGAAGAAGCATCGAAATGAGCTGTTTAATCTGCCCATCATGTGTGTTGAGAGATCAGCAGTTTGGATCAACAAAGTGTGACTACTTTGATAGTAGAAACTGTATTTATGGCTTACTTTTGTGTATTTAAACTTCAGCCGCCATTGATAGTTGTTAAAAGTTGTTAAACCTGTGCATATGAAACAAAAAACGCCTTTTGTTTATCGATTTATTGTGAAAAACGGAAGTTGTGCTCGCTCCTTTTCCTGTTGGGCGTTTGTGATTTCTGTCCATTTACTGCGGAGGTGCTCCGGCGTCCGGCGAAAATAGGATCGATTCTATTTTTGCCGGACGCCGGAACAGAGGGCGGCGCACGGCGCCGCACTGCCGGAGCACGGCCGCAGTAGTGGAATTGCTCTGATTGACTACAACGGGACCGATTTTGCTCCGGTGTTCGTGTCGGAGCGGAGCGGAGGTAGTGGAATTTGAGGGTTATGCAGAAGTGTCAGTCAATCAAACTTTATCTTTTCATACAAAAATGTAATTCTTTACGTAAAGTGCTTTAGACCCCACATATCCCACAAATGTCATTGCCAATTAAATGTGGAGCAGAGTTTTTAACCTGAAGATGGAGATTATAATTATGGTTTTGGGTTGAAATATGAAATTTAAAGTAAGTTGCACTGAACTGCCACA